TTAATAATTCAGATTCCATTGATAATATTGATATTAATTATCACTTAATTGCTTACAAACAATATAAGTTACCTGCAGTGGCAGAATTGCATCATGATACTGGATTTTGGGCAATACTATCACTATTCAAAACCATTGGGTAATGAAGCCTATAGGGAAATTTCAGATTTAGAGCATACCATTGAATATTAGTTGGTAAAATCAGGGATAGAAAAAAAAAGACCTTCACAACAATAATACTTAGACTTAAATACCGCTTCACAGTGCTTTACAGCCCTCTCTAAGAGGTTTACAGAGTCAGCATATTGCCCCCAACAATCTGGGTTCTCATTTTACCCACCTCAGAAGGATGGAAGGCTGAGTCAACCTTGAGCCTGGTGANAGAACTTGCACAATTGGTGGCTGACTAAATACTTTTTTGCCCCACTGTATATATAAATAATAAAATATGCATGATGTCTAAATCAGCCACAATTACATGACAAAATTGAAATGTCCATGGTAGGAATAAATAACACTAACTCCATAACATCAAAAGGCAATTCAATTATAATCAACATCTTTAGTACAGCACACATAATTGCATAAAAGAAAATCAGTTAATTAGAAATCAGCCAACATCAGCCAGATGATATCAACTATCCAAGTCTGTCTAAAACAGTTCAGTGTTTAATACTTTCTTGAAGTCTATTACATTCAAGGTAATCCTGATACTGAAAGGGAGATTATTCCAAATTATTGCAGTTGTTACCAGAAAAAAGTCTTCACACATACACCCACATGAAAATGCAATTGTTGTATCTGATAGAAAATAGGATGAGGACAACATCTATTTTGTTTAGGGAAGCAGTTCTTTTGTTTGTGAATTGATAGTAGGGCTCAAAAACTAAATTCTTTGAAATTTCAAAGAAATTTCAGCAATGACTGATAATGACTGATTCATAAGATAGAACTGAAATCTTTTTTCATCTTTATTTCATGTACTGTATGCTACCTGTTATTTGTAAAAACATTTGTGGAAGGTATACTTCAAACTGCTCTCTACTTTGGGAAATGAGCCCATATTGTAATAGGACTTCAAAAAAAATTGCAGTAGTAATTTTTAATTAAAATTAAATACACAATCATATTGTTTTGCCCTTCTGTCTCTCTACAAACAGTTTTGAAATGGAATTAGTTTAAAAGATGAATTTAAGAGCAAGAATTTTTTTGCAGTATCCATCTCCTGTTGCTGTTCTTTAATTTGAGCCAGTTGTGAATTAAAAGCTTTGGAAGAATAAAAATGCATGGAACAGAAGGCAAAAGAACAAGGAGATGAATATTGTTTGGTATTTGTCCAGTTCAAATAAAATGGCAAATGGCAAGCAAAAGATAATAATCAAACAAATATTAAGACTGAAGTCATAATTTAGAAAAAAATCTGTTTTGCAGACTCTTTAGATTGAACGGGATCCAGGATTTTTCAGTTATATGTTAAGTTTAATGCAGATCTTATTAACAGTTTATGTTCAAGCTTGTTTAGCCATAAAGTATTTTAGGATCTATTGAAATTTTCTCCTTTTACAATTATTGTTCTGGTTGATCTACTTTTTTGTAAACTCTACTTTTAAGTTGTTTTCTATAACTCAGATCATGGGAGTTGAAATTATTTTTTATAAATATATTTGATAGTTTATACATGTATTTAATTAATTTTATACTATTCTATTTTTATACCCCAGAAGTACAGTGATTTTCATCTCTTTATCACTATAAAAATGCAGTTATGGACAGTTAATAATTTTTATGTTTATGGTAAACATGTTTCATTTATGATGCAGTAATACATTTTAGAGTGTGTGTTATAGCAATACATTACATTCATAATGTATAATACATAATAATGTATTTGGGCATCTTGAATTTAAAGTTGTTTGTTTTACTGTGGTAAAACACAATTACTTGGATTAGTTAAAATATAGTTGGAAACAAATATAATGGCCTTGATTTGATAGAACATAACTGGAGTTTTTTTTTTTCTTCAGCGTAAGAATCTTTCCAATAATTACATCTTCATTATTTTTACTGTGTAGGTCTTGTATTAAACATGAGGTTATAGTTGATGTTGGTTAATTTTGCTATTATGCTTTTCAATTTATATTATCTAAGCATTCTAAGTGTATGTTAATTTTTACACTGAAATCACTGGGGGTTAATTGTACTTAATTTTAATACATCAGATTCACATTTCTTATATGATCCTTTTTGTTTTTTTAGTAATCTTCTGATTAAACAGGACAGATATTTAGATGATCATTAATATCTAAACATTCAGCTATTATTCTGGAGAGATGTTTAAAAGGATGTATTAAAAACTAATTGTACATAAATCAAACCTTATCTAATTAATAATGGTAGATGTCTCATTGGCATCTCTCATTGCAATGATAAATAACCTATGTAGATATTGTTCTATTATTATGAAGTGCCTTGATGGAAGGTTAGAATTCTTAAGCTCTAATGTCTATTTAATTTGTTTTGTCCACTTTGTGAGAACCTTCTTGTTAAATAATTGCCAGAATCTTAGACATCAGTTCCTTTTGTTAAAGATTAATTGAATGATAGATTAAATCAGTTATGCAATAAATATCAAGTCTAACATACATTGAAGAAAATTGAAGGACTGATAATGTAATATATTTCAAGACCTTTATATAATAGAACTGCAAACTAAACATCTTTTATTTTTATGCTAACCAGTGTAAAATGCAGTCAGGCAATGGTGTACTAACAAAATATTGTAATAGATACTTTTTATTGTTGTTTTCATTTATTCTCTATATTATTCACAGTAAGGGAACCCTAGATTCCCAAACGACTTGCCCCAAGTAAGATTAATTTTTGAATAGACATGCATAGGATCAGGGTTTTATAGATTTCACACAGAAAAAGATTAGTCTTAAATGAAGTACTCCTTTTGTATTAGTTACATTTTAATTGCTATCTTGTCATTTGAAATGTTTTACCAAATTAATTCTTCATTAGTCAGCTTGATTAATAATTGCATTGCTGAATAGTCATACGGTCATCCGATAGACCTTCAGAATAGATCTGAAAACAGTCTCAGATGGGACTGCTCAAAGAAATTGTCATTTTATTGTGCTATAGCAAGAACGAGAATAGATAGATGTGTTAGTGTAACTATTGGTAAAAATATTTTAATGAAAAAATGAAGGAACAAAATTTTTATCTAGCTTGAGGGTCAAATTTCATAAGTATATCTATTTGTAACTCTACCTTAAAGATGTATGATTTATTAATTATTAACATTGGTATATAAAAATTGTCATATCTTTAAACACAAGTACCCTAATGCTTAGGGTATTAGCTAACCTCATGGTAAATATGACATAAATGTGCTTTAAAACAATAATAAAAACCTTGCAAAGTTGAGGATATATCAACCAAGAAAGGGGCTTTTGAAAAGAGCTACATTTACTGTGTTCAAACTAAGGACAAGGAATGCTTGCCTCCCTTCTATTGCTCTTGTTACCTATATTGAATTCTGACACACCTAAAAATTTCCTCTTTTTCTTTAATAGCACTTCCCAATTTTAAACGTCATGGAGTACTCCCAAAAAGCTTTTGTTTGTATGTATAACATGTATTGACATTTACAAGTCATTGCACAGAGATAAACTAGACTAATCAGAATACATATCAGCATCTTTAGGATGGTGTTAAGCCTTAAGGTAATTAATACTCTTTTACTCAAACAACCCATTATTAATCATGTGCTTACATTATGTTAACTTCATTTAAAAAAAACAAGGCTATATATTTTAATTATATTTTAAATGTATAGTTAAAATATATTAAAGGAAGCTCAATTGGAAGATGACCTTATGCTAATGATATTACCCTAGTAGCCAAAAATGCAAAGGATCTTCATGATCTTGTAATAAAGCCAAGGAATACAGTGGGGGGAGGGGAGAAATAGGACTAAAATAAAATACAAAGAATTCCAAACTAAGGGCAATTGGTGCAATAAGCAGCCTTAGAACCGAAGAGGAAGACATTGAAATAGTGAATACTACTGCTTTTTAGCATCAGCTATCAAAAGTCAAGAAATATGTTGTAAACTAGCACTTGGTAGAGAAGCTAGAAGGCCTTGGAAAAGTTGGTCAGGTACCAGAATAGTGCAGTAATCTCTGTGATGCTTTGTGGAAGTGGAAGTGGAACTTTGAAAAAGTAGAGTGAAAGTATATTGATGGTGTTGGAGAAATTTCCTGAGAATACTATGGACAGCCAAGAAAGCAAACAAATGAAACAGCAAACAAATCAACCAGAATTTTCACCTGAGGCACAAATGACCAGGCTCAAATTATTGTACTTGGGAAACATAATGTGAAGACATAGCTCTCTGGCAACGGTTCTAATGCTGGGAAAGATGGAAGGAATGAGAAGATAAGAAAAGGACAACCAGTAGCCAGATGGATGAGTTGCAGTGCATGGGATATACTGTTGGAAAACCAGATTAGAGACAAAATGTCATGGGGAAAAATATATTTATTTGTTTGTTTGTTTGTTTGTTTTTTTGTTTGTTTGTTTGTTTATTTATTTATTTATTAGACTTATATACCATTTCACAGTGCTCTGCTGCCCTCTTTAAGCGGTTTACAGAGTCAGCATATTGCCCCCAACAATCTGGGTTCTCATTTTACCCACCTCAGAAGGATGGAAGGCTGAGTCAACCTTGAGCCTGGTGAGATTTGATCTGCCAAACTGCTGGCAGATGGTGATCAACAGAAGTAGCCTGCAATACTGCACTCTACTCTAATTGCACCACCGCTAAATTTAGCTAAATTATTTGCTAAATTAATTCAACATTGACAATGTGCTGCTATGAAAAATAAAAAAGTAATGTTACTTATAAGTTGCATTTGTTTTAATAAGTAAATTACTTAAAACAATGACATATTTTTTTTCAAATCTGCAGTCATGTTATTTTAATGAGTAAAATATGGATGCTGTGCTCTCATGACATCCAAAGCACTTCTTCCAAATAAAACATGCACAGCCTTAATGGGAAATAGGGTCTTGGACAAGCTGAGGTTTTGCCCTGAGCCAATTGAAGCTTAGTTAGAACTCACAATGAAAAGATATATATGGTTTAAATGAAATCTAAAGTATTAAATTCCAATGTAGATTTGCTGTTTTCTAGAATGCTAGAAGATGACCTAAAGTTGAGCAGTGATGAAGAAGAGAGTGACCAGGTAAGAAATTTGAAATTTGTTCATTTTTTTTAACCGCTTAATTCATTACATTTATATTCTGACTTTCCCCCAAAAGACAATGTTCCAATCTTAAACTTATGGGTTAATGTATAATTATGAATATATTATTTTTTAAAAAAAACTTTTATTGTTAAAAAAGAAAAATGTTGGACATGGTGAAACCTTCTTGGCGGTCTCTCCACCATACAGCAAATAATACAAGTCTTTTCAATATATACAAGCAATGAGAATGCAATACAAAACCTCTTCTACATGATTGCATTACAATTATAATTACATAATATACTATCTATATTGCCTTATGTTTCAATCTATGCATCCTTGTGCTTATTCGTTCCGACTTTCCTTCCTTAAATCCAACTACTGGTAAAACCTATCCCAAATCTCATAGAACTCTGTCTCTCCTTTATTTTTTAATTCTAGCGTCAGTCTATCACATTCTCCATAATCAAGTATTTTCTTTGTTATTTCCTTTTCTTTAGGTATGTTTTCACTCTTCCATTGTTGGGCATAAACTATTCTCGCAGCTGTTATGATACATAGCATTAAATATGTTAACACTTTGCTTAAATCCTCTTTAATAATTCCTAATAGGAATATTTCTGGTTTGAATTCCATTCTCTGTCCAGTCATTTCTTCCAACCACCTTCGAATCCTTTGCCAATATTCTGTGGCTTTCCTACATGACCACCACATGTGATAGTGGTCACATGTCCAACATTTAGGTGATAAATTTTTATACATTTTGGCTAGCCTGGCTAGAGGTAGGTGCCACCTGTAGAACATTTTATATAAGTTCTCTTTGTATGATGTGTCCAAAGTTAGTTTCCTTTCTTATCCCACAATTTCCCCCATTTTTCCAATTCGATATTGTGCCCAAAGTTCTTTGCCCATACCACCATCATTTCTTTAATATACTCTTCATCCATTTTTCATTTTAGTAAAAATGTATACATTGCTTTGATCATTTTCTCCTCTGTCCGTAATAAAAGTTTATCTAATGCCATTAAATTCCTATTGATGCCCCATGTTCTCATATCTTTGTATAATTTGACTGAATTTGTAAATATGACCACCATTCTATTTCCAATCCTTGTTCTTTTACTTGCAATCTCAATTTTAATCCCCCCTGATCATCTAATATATCTTTATATGTTATAATTTCCCCACAGTTTATAAGATTTAGATATACCACTGCTTCTAGGGTGGAGAGCCAGCTTGGTGTTTCCCTATAGTTTTGCTTTTTTATGAATACATTATTAACTACAGCGACTAATTCACAAACATACTAAGTCACATTCAGACAACCCACATTAAAATTTAATGCAACATATGAACTCAGCTATAAGGAATAACAGTCTACAACTTACATTCATTCATTTAGTGCCTAGTCAAAGTTATGATTGCACTGAAAAAAGTGATTTAGGACTGTTTTTCCCACAACTGTTGCAGCATCCCCATGGTCATGTGATCAAAATTCAGGTGCTTGGCAACTAGTTCATATTTACAACGCTTTCAGTATCACGGCATCATGTGATCATCTTTCTGCCAAGCAAACTCAATAGGGAAGCCACATTCACTTAACAACTCTGTTACTAATATAACAACTGCAGTGATTCATTTAACAAATGTGACAAGAAAAATCCTAAAATGGGGCAAAACTCAATTAACAACTGTCTCGCTTAGCAACATAAATTTTGGGCTTAATTATGGTCGTAAATCGAGACCTACATGTAATCATAATAGAGGAAAACAAAATTGGACTATCAGTTTGTAATAATTATACCACCATACAAGTTTGCAGTTACTTTGATTACACAACTTTTTCCCTTAATTAATATAATTCATCCAGTTAATATTATTACTTAATATGATTATTACGGAATGATCAAATGATCTAATGTGTGAAAAGAAATATTCATATTTTACAAGCAATTTGTAGGCAGAATTTTCTTTCCTCTAAGTTGCAACAAGATTTGCCACTGAGCCTTTGTGGCAGTGCAAATTTATAACCCACTGAGTTAATCAATCTGCATTCAGCAGCTTAAACAGATTAAATAAAACCCATGTGCTTGTCTGGAAAATGTAACTGAAGTTCATTTTGTCTGTTTGCTTATCAACACCCAAGATTCATAAAAGGCAATACCAGGGTATATACTTTTGGCTTGTATCAAAGAAATGTTAAAATAATATAAATACAAGCTTTAAAAAACCCTGCAAAATAACCTTTGAGACCTGCCTCTGAATTGGAACTCTGGATGTGCAAAAACAAAAACCACTGAATGCTTTAGATAGTAACACAGGGAAAGGACAATACGTTTTTTAAAAAAATATTACAATATATACTTCTAGTTTGTAAAATTGCTAGTTATGTTGTGTGTTGTGTATATGGTTGAAATATTGTACATAATTTTTAGATATTAACATGAATGAAGAATGCATGTACATCAGGAGTGTCAAACTTGATTTCATTGAGGGTCACATCAGGGTTGAGTTTGACCTTGGGTGGGGCGGCTCAATATCACTCATGTTGGAGCGCCTGTGGTGCTCAGACAACAAAAACAGGCCCCCGAGCTCTGTTTTTGGCTGTGACGGCCTCCTGCATCCCTCTGCCAGCAAAACTTGAGTTTAGGAGGGCCACCTGCCGCTCTATTTTTTCTAGCAAAGGTACTGCGGGATGGTCATTTGTTGTTTCCAGGGTGACTCCGTGGGTCAGATCTAAGCACCACATGGGCTGGATCTGGCCTCTGGGCCTTGAGTTTGACACCCCTCATGTACATACACATACAAATAGTGCAGGTAGTGCTCATTTAGCAACCATAATTGGGACTAATAACTCAGCTATTAAATAAAGCAATTGCTAAGTGAAACCACAATTTAACTTTGACATTGTAAACTGCCCAGAGTTACCCTGTGGTAAGTTGGGTGACCAATAAATAAAATAAATAAATAAATTGTAGCTATGATTTCACTTTAGTTTTCCTTTCCTTTATAGACCTACAAATGTTGTAAATGCTAGGACCGATCATCACTGTTATAACTACAGATGATCACTAAATGAGGCAATTGCTAAATGAGGGCTACCTATAAGGTCATATTAGAATATATATGAGCAATTATTGCGGGGGCAGCAGAAGAAACAAATAAGAGCATGTGCATCACCACAACAGCATGCACTATAAATGATGGAAGTTATGTTCTTGCATTAGATGTCACTTGTGCTATCAAGTCATGATGCAGAGGCCATTATTTTGACATGATTGTGGCTTGTTCGAAATGCGAGTTTGATACGAGTATAAAACTCGTCGCGTCACATTGCTGTCACGTGATGTATCGTGATGTTTTTTCCATTCACAGAGCTGGGGTGGATGTTGGCCTGTGCGTGACGTATCTGGCCTGCGGGCCGCAGGTTTGACACCTATAGCCTATGAGAATATAGCTTTCATAATCTCTCAACCAGCATATTGACTTGTTGATGGTAGGAATTACAGGCCAGTGTTTGAAAATAAATAACCTAGGGATTTAATTTTAAAAAAAAATCTTTGCTTTCTATGCATTCGGTAAGAGAACAACTGGCAGAGCAGGAGGCTGTGTGATGATGAAAAGAAGGATCAGCCTAGAATCATTACCTAGTCACAAATGAACTTGACTTCCATTGACCCTTATCTAACATTAACCATTTGCTGACTTGTTAGAAGATTCTTGTGCAAAGGCTTTTAGCAATAAATCAGTGAAATTGAACCTCCCTACGTGCTTGACACATTCATATGTTCTCATATCACCATTAAAAAATTGTAGGACAAATCATCTAACTCTGAAAACAGCAGGTTGGTAAATGTGATAGGAACTAGGGAGCCATCTGATAGAGCTCTATATGTTTTACTAAGAACAAACAAGTTGTCTATAACTAATCAGGCATACATTATAAATGAAATGTTATCCCATTTACTGATATCAAGATCTAAAAAGAAGTAGAGGTGGTAAATTACAGCTGTTACCAAAGATGTAATTCCTAAGTGCAACTAATGTTGCACTGTCATTTAAAAGATAAAATAAGCCACTTTTCGTGCATAATTTCATGTGGTATAAACTGATAATAGCAACAGTTTCCCATAAAAGACAATGTGAAGACACCAATGATAGAAAAGTACATGGAAATCAGACAGTCAAGCAAGAAGAAAATATGTAGAAACAGGGAAAATGATGGGGACAAACGTAACATTAAATTGCTGGTGCAAAAGTAGATTGTATTTAGGTAAATGGTAGGTTATCTTCCTTGAGAACATCTGAATAATCACTGTGTCATCCATGTTTCTTTCCAAAGTGAGAGACAGGTTGAGAGTTCCAAAACATATGGAGAAGTTCAGGTTGCTTCATTCTGATCAAAAGATATTTAGAATCAGTAAACTGCCAGCAAACTGTCGTTCACCTATCCATCCATATTTTTTTGTCTTCTAAGCCTGCTTGTTCTACCTGTCATCATTAGTTTGGTCTCTTTATATTTTAGTCTTATTTTTTCACTGGACTCCTTGACTTTTATGACTCTAGCTTGCAAGTCTTTTGCATTTTTGACTGTCAGACTTGCCTCATAAGTTTAGTACAGGCAATTGATGTTTTTTCCTCCAGTTTTAAAGGTGGGGGGGGGGAGACAATTTTTGGAGAAAATAGCTTAAACCCTATTCTACATGTCCCAGCTTTCTGATCCTGTTCAAATTATACATAGACACACTGCTTTTATAAGGTAAAAACACAGTAATTCAATGTCAAATCACACTCTAAACATACTTTAAGTCATACCATTTCCAGGCTTTACAAATGCATCATAAAAGCTGGGTATTAAACTAATATCATTATAGCTTCTTTGAATAGATGTTGAGGAGAAATTTAGCAAGCCACATAAAAGCGACCTCCTTACCTGTGGGTTAGCCTACCCCTAAGGGCGTATTATCTGATAAACTCCCAAGGTGAAACATTTAAAA